AAAAAAAAAAAAAAAAAAACACCCAACAAAAAACCTATAGAAACTTACTTTTAAAAAAAAGGCATGATACACAAACAGTAAAGTGTGCTACTCTTAGGCGTAAGCTTGATCAGTTTTTTGTTTTTTTTTCTTTTTGAGTTGGAGCCTCTCTGTCTCACCCAGGCCGGAGGCAATGGCTCGATCGCGGCTCACTGCAGCCTCCACCTTCCAGGTTCAAGCGATTCCCCTGCCTCAACCTCCCGAGTAGCTGGGACTACAAGGCGTGCACCACCATGCCCGGCTAGTTTTTGTATTTTAGGAGAGACGGGGTTTTACCATGTTGGCTGGGGTGGATGGTCTCAAACTCCTGACCTTGTGATCCATGCGCCTGGGCCTCCCAAAGTGCTGGGATTACAGGTGTGAGCCACCGCGCCCGGCCTTGATCAGTTTTTACCTTTGTACCCACCTGTCTATGCACTGCCTGTCCTCATAAGGCCCCGCCCTTTCCCCCAAGGCCTGTGCTGTTTGACTCAGGTGGGGCCTTCCTCCTCACTCTGCCCTTGGTTCTAAGTTGTGTTTTCTTTTCTCCCCAATCCTTGGGAGTCATATATATGTATATATATTTTTTTGAGATGGAGTCTGGCTCTGTCACCCAGGAGTCCAGTGACACAATCTTGGCTCACTGCAACCTCTACCTCCCAGGCTCAAGCAATTCTCCTGCCTCAGCCTCCTGAGTAGCTGGAACTACAGGTGTGTACCACCACTTGTGTCTGATTTTTTGTATTTTTAGTAGAGATGGGTTTTCACCATGTTGGTCATCACCTGACCTCAGGTGATCCGCCCGCCTCGGCCTCCCAAAGTGCTGGGATTACAGGTGTGAGCCATTGTGCCTGTGCCTGGTGTTTTCTTTGTTTTGTTTGAGACGGAGTCTCACTCTGTCGCCCAGGCTGGAGTGCAGTGGTGTGATCTCGGCTCACTGCATCCTCTGCCTTCCAGGTTAAAGCAATTCTCCTGCCTCAGCCCCCTGAGTAGCTGGGACTACAGGCGTGTGCCACCACACCAGGTTAATTTTTGTATTTGTAGTAGAGATGAGGTTTCACTATATTGGCCAGGCTGGTCTCAAACTCCTGACCTCAGCTGATCCGTCCGTCTTGGCCTCCCACAGTGCTGGAATTACAGGTGTGAGCAGCTGCACCTGGGTGGGAGTCATTTTTTTTTTTTTTTTTTTTGAGATGAAGTCTCGTTCTGTCATCGGGCTGCAGTGCAGTGGCTCCATCTCGACTCACTGCTACCTCTGCCTCCCGGGTTCAAGCGATTCTCCTGCCTCAGCCTCCCAAGTAGCTGCGACTACAGGTGCGCACCACCAAGCCCAGCTAATTTTTGTGTTTTTAGTAGAGACGGGGTTTCACCATGTTGGCCAGGCTGGTTTCGATCTCTTGACCTTGTGATGCGCCCGCCTCGGCCTCCCAAAGTGCCGGGATTACAGGCGTGAGCCACTGCGTCTGGGCGGGAGTCATGTCTTATGTGGGACTTTGTTTCTGTCTGCACAGGGTCATATTTATGCTCCTCTTTTAATGGTTTTTCTTGGGCCTTGAGTTCATTTGTAATAGTTTATTTCATAAGTGTTCTTGCAGTCAGCTCATTGGTAGAGAGCTTTATCTTCATGTGGATGATTCCCTCCAGGTGCATTTCTAACCGCGGAACTCGTGTGAGACGCTGTAAGGGCCGTGTAGTCCTCCTGTCTCAGAGGCCTGTGTGCAAGGCCCGAGGGATCCACCTTCCATGGCACGTTCTGCTTTCTTTACAGGGTGTATCCGCAGCCGGCCAGGTGGTATCCCTGAAGGTGTGGCTGATTGACGGCATTCTGGAAAAGATCAACAGCCACCTTCCCTCTCACATTCGGATTCTGGGTAAGCCTTGCGGTGCAGGCGGCCGCACGCCTGGTCATAGGTGTCCTTGCAGAGACGTGAGGCTCCGCGTGCTGCCGCCTTTCCCAGATGTCTCCGGTGCAGAAGTGTCGGCAGAGCTGCTTTGCAGTTGCTTCTGACCTGCAGAGACAGGAGCAGCGAGACGGGAGGAGGAGCCGCTCGTTTGCAGTGCTCGTTGCTCCGCGGGTGCCTTGCCAAAGCAACACTGGATGTGAAAATCCAAATTCATGGTTAAAATGGGCAGTTGTTCCCTTTTACTGCAGGACTGATAAGTGGAATTTTTAGGCCTTCTTAAAATGTGTCTGCCTTTAAGTGGCAAGTACAGGCAACTTACATAGATCCATTCATTCATTCAGTTTGTTTTTGGGAGTCTCGCCCTGTCACCGAGGCTGGAGTGCAGTGGTGCGATCATGGCTCCGTGCAGCCTTGGCCTCCTGGGCTCAAGTGATCCTCCTCCCCTCCGTCTCCACTGTAACTGGAACTACGGGTGTGTGCCGCCACACTCAGCTGCTTTTCGTATCTGTAGAGTTGGGGTCTCATTGTGCTGCCCAGGCTGGTCTTGAACTCCTGGGCTCTCTTGGTCCTCCTGCCTTGGGCTACCAGAGACCACTTATACTTAATGTAATTATAGGTGTGGTCAGGTGGGAATCTGTCATCTGTGTGTGAATCTATCATCTTGCCCTCTGTTTTCGTTTCCTTTTTTTTTTTTTTTGATCTAATCCCAAGAAAACAGAGCTGTTGTCTGCCTGACTGCTCTGCTTAGAGAGGTGTTTTTTTGAGACAGGGTCTTGTTCTCTCGCTCAGGCTGGAGTGCAGTGGTGCGATCACAGCTCACTGTAGCATTGACCACCTGGGCTCAAGAGGTCCTCTCGCCTCAGCCTGCAGGCTGGGACTCCAGGCACACGCCACCACGGCTGGCCACGTTTTTAATTGTTTTGTAGAGATGGAGTTTTGCCGTGTTACTCAGGCTACCCTCAACTCCTGGGCTCTATCAATCTGCCCGCCTCAGCCTTCCTAAGTGTCGCGATTACAGGTGTGAGCCACGGTACCCGCCCCACAGCCTGGCTGTTTTCAGGTTCATCCATGCGGTCGTGTGTGTCAGCAGGCTGTTCCTTTTCGTTGCTGAGAGGTATTCCATTATGTGGCTGTGCCACGGAATTCCATTATGTGGCTGTGCCACGGATTGTTGATACACTCAACCTGCAGATGGACGCTGGGCGGTTTCCAGCTCTTGGCTGTTGCAAGTAAAGCCGCTATGAACATTTATGTACGAGCCATAAATAGGATTCAGTAACCCTTGTTGATTTTGCCCACTGTTAAGTGTGGGGGTGTGTGTGTGTTTGTTTTTGAGATCGAGCCTTGTCTGTTGCCCAGGCTGGAGTGCACTGGCACAATTCGGCTTGCTGCAGCTCACACCCGCCTCCTGGGTTCAGGTGATTCTCGCACCTCGGCCTCCTCAGTAGCTGGGACTACAAGTGTGCGCCACCACGCCCGACGGATATTTGTATTTTTAGTGGAGACGGGGTTTCTCCATGTTGGCCAGGCTAGTCTTGGACTCCTGACCTCAGGTGATCTACCTGCCTCGGCCTCCCAAAGTGCTGGGATTATAGTGGGAATAAATAAAACTATTCCCACTGCGCCCGGGAATAGTTTTATTTATTTATTTATTTTTATTTACTTATTCATTTTTTTTGAGTCAGCATTTCGCTCTTGTTGCCCAGGCTGGAGTGCAGTGGTGTGATCTCGGCCCACTGCAACCTCCGCCTTCTGGGTTCAAGCAATCCTTCTGCCTCAGCCTCCCGAGTAGCTGGGACTACAGACATGCACCACCACACCCAACTAATTTTGTATTTTTAATAGAGACGGGGTTTTACCATGTTGGTCAGACTGGTCTCGAACTCGTGACCTCAGGTGATCCACCCGCCTCGGCCTCCCAAAGTCCTAGGATTACAGACGTGAGCCATCGCGCCTGGCGATTTATTCATTTTTTTGAGTTGGAATCTCGCTCTTGTTGCCCAGGCATGAGCGCAATGGTGAGATCTCAGCTCACTGCAACCTCCGCCTCCCGGATTCAAGTGATTCTCCTGCCTCAGCCTCCTGAATAGCTGGGATTACAGGCATGCGCCACCACGCCTGGCTAATTTTGTATCTTTAGTATAGACGGGGTTTCTCCATGTTGGTCACAATGGTCTCAAACTCCTGACCTCAGGTTGTCCCTCTGCCTCGGTCTCCCAGAGTGCTGGGATTACAGGCGTGAGCCACCCACTGGGCACTAGTTTTGTTTTTGTCATGCTGGTCTTCTTCTGTCTTCTGATAATTCCCTCCTGAGAAACTTCCCATAGAATAAGTCTTCTGAAAGTCACGTTTGAGGTCTCTTCCCATTCATTTGCATGGAAAACATTTGAGTATTCTGTAGATGAATCCCCATCAATCGTGCTGGACCGTGCCATGACCCGTGCAGTTGTCAGGTAGCTGCTGTCACCCACACGCCTCGGTGCCTGCCCCAGGGTCCTCCCCCAGGCCTGCAGCATGGCCACCAGCCGGCACTTTTCAGCCTTTCATAGCAGTTATGTTTTGAACAACCAGAATGACGCTTGCAACGCATCCTTGTGATGTTCAGTGTTTATGAAATGGAATCTTTAAAACCAAGAAAACAGAAAGGTCAGTCAGAAATCCAACATGACCGGAGACCAACGCACGAGGCGTGGGGCGCGAGTGCTCACGGAAGCCGCGCGATGAGCGACCCGGGCCGGGCAGGCTGTGTGGAGGCACATGGCCCAGGCCAGTCCTTGAAATGTGAAACTCTAGTTGGGTATTACACTCCTGGCTGGGTGGGTGGCTCACACCTGTAATCCCAGCACTTTGGGAGGCTGAGGCAGGTGGATCATGAGGTCAGGATTTCAAGACCAGCCTGACCAACATGGTGAAACCCCATCTCTGCTAAAAATATAAAAATGACCCGGGGTGGTGGTGTGCGCCTGTAGTCCCAGCTACTCAGGAGGCCAAGGCAGGAGAATCGCTTGAACCAGAGAGGCGGAGGTTGCCGTGAGCTGGGATCACGCCACTGCACTCCAGCCTGGGCAACAGAGCGAGACTCTGTCTCAAAAAAAAAAAAAAAATCAAACTCCTGAGGTGAGGTGGGCTGCAGCAGCTGGAGGGACCTCCTGTCCCAGCCACAGCGGAAGGTCCTGGAGGAGGCGTGTGGCCCAGAGCCGTGTCCACGCAGAGCTTTCTCCACCTAGGCCCTGAAGTGGGTGCCCTCTGTGGGGGTTCTTCCAGAATTCTTCCATTTAAACATAGATGTCTGTGACAGATGGGATCCCCCTGCATATAGGTCTTCATTTGCCTTTAATTTTTGCTGAATCAATATTTAACAAATACTGAGCACCTGTGAGGTATGGCTAGCCCTCAAGGCATCATGGAGGAGACGTGGCCTCAGTGCTTGGAGACGTGCTCCTGATTGACGGGGCCGCATCCTATTTTACCCGGCGAATATTCTAGATTAGATCAGTCTTCCGTTGCTGGTGGCTTCCAGTTTTTTTTTAATTGCTGTTGAAAATAGTGCTGGCTGTGTGGCCTTCACAGTAGGACTCACTCTGGCTTCTGGGCTGGGGCTGCACACTTCTTAGACACCTGGTGTTGTGATCTGGGGTGCAGGCTGCACCAGTTCACACTGGATCCTTTGCCAGCAATGGTTTTGTTTTGAGATAGGATCTTCCTCTGTCACCCAGGCGAGAGTACAGTGGTGTGATCTTGGCTCACTGCAATCTCCACCTCCCAGGTTCAAGTGATTCTCCTACCTCAGCCTCCTGAGTAGCTGGGATTACAGGCACCTGCCACCATGACTGGCTAATTTTTGTATTTTTAGGAGACGGGGTTTCACCATGTTGGTCAGGCTGGACTCGAATTCCTGACCTCAGGTGATCTGCCCACCTCGGCCTCCCAAAGTGCTGGGATTACAGGCGTGAGCCACCGTGCCTGGCTGCTTTTGTTTTCAGTTCACACATAGTAATTGCACATACTTATATACAATTATGTGTGATATTTCCAGTGATGTGTAATGATCAAATCAGGGTAATTAGTATAATACATCCATCCCCCCAAGCATTTCTCATTTCTCTGTGTTGGAGACATTCCGTATCTTCTCGCTATTGGAAAATGACAGTAAATGGTTGTTAATTCAGTCACCTTCCAGAGCCCTGCACCTGTCCCTCCTGGGCCCACTCCCCAGCCTGTGGCTGTTCCCTCCCCAGAGAAGCTAGTACTTGCTGGAGCCTGGCCGGGGTGCACACTGTGTTCAGGCTGCTCCTGGTCATTGAGGCGTTTCTGCTCACCGGCCCTTCTCCCCCCTGACCACCTCTCCCCTAGGCCTGAAGCGGGTCACGGGCGGCTTTAACTCCAAGAACAAGTGTGATGCCAGGACCTACTGCTACCTGCTGCCCACGTTTGCCTTTGCGCACAAGGACCGTGATGTGCAGGACGAGACCTACCGCCTGAGCGCCGAGACACTGCAGCAGGTTAACAGGCTCCTGGCCCGCTACAAGGGCACGCACAACTTCCACAATTTCACGTCGCAGAAGGGGCCGCAGGAGCCCAGCGCCCGCCGCTACATCCTGGACATGTACTGTGAGGAGCCCTTTGTGCGGGAGGGCCTGGAGTTCGCCGTGATCAGGGTGAAGGGCCAGAGCTTCATGATGCATCAGATCCGGAAGATGGTCGGCCTGGTGGTGGCCATCGTGAAGGGCTACGCCCCCGAGAGCGTGCTGGAGCGCAGCTGGGGCGCGGAGAAGGTGGACGTGCCCAAGGCGCCGGGACTCGGCCTGGTCCTGGAGAGGGTGCACTTCGAGAAGTACAACCAGCGCTTCGGCAACGATGGGCTGCACGAGCCACTGGACTGGGCGCAGGAGGAGGGCAAGGTCGCGGCCTTCAAGGAGGAGCACATCTACCCCACCATCATCGGCACCGAGCAGAACGAGCGCTCCATGGCCCAGTGGCTGAGCACCCTGCCCGTCCACAACTTCAGCGCCACTGCTCTCGCGGCAGCTGGCACAGGCGGCAAGGTAGGGGCCCGGTCCCAGCAGTGCTCGGCAGAGTGCGGGCCCATGTTGCCCCCATTGTGCAGAGTGAGCTGAGGCACGGAGAAGGGTGCCACTTCCCCCAAGCCACAACGGCTGCCCCCTCCCACAGTCGAAAGGCACCCACTTTGGACTATGGGAGAGCCACTCCATGGTCAGGCTGCTGCCAGCGGGTCTGCAGCTGCGGACTGTAGCTTAGAACTAGAACACTCAGGATTGTCGGTGTGGGAGTGAATAGCTAAATGAATGAAATTGTCATTCTCAGTTCTTTGCTCTGGGGTGAGAGTTCTTTCATGGTGGACCAGTGAGGTTTCAAAGGGTGAAATTCCCAGGCAGGGCAGAGGGAGATTCTTCCCGTCCTCTAGAGATCTGAGCACGGAGTCCTTCCTGCGCACCTGGGCGGCGAACTCAAGTGTATGCGGGCGCTGGGGAGCTGAGGCGGGCAGGCGAAGGGCCGGGCGCTTGGTGGGCAGTCGCATAGATGGGGCGATGAGAGGCCCCCAGCCTCTCATCGGGGCGGCAGGGGGTGGGGGCCCAGCGGTGGCCTGGCGCCCTCTTGTTTCCTCTGAAGCGGGGCAGTCGCAGCTCAGTGGCAGCTGGTGGTGGCCATGTTGGAATATGACGGTGACAGCATGCTTGAATGTTGTCGAGCAGGAGAGAGCAAGCTTGCATGCTCGTGGGGAATCTTCCCTTTTTAAGTCCTGGTGGTTAACTGTCCCAAGCCCAGTGCAGGGCGGGCCAGCTTGGCCTGGGCCAGATTGCACTGCTGTTGACCCCACTGAGAGGCCTAGATGCTTCCAAGGCGCCTGCATTTGCTGTTGCCAAATGGCCCCATTTGTGTTTTCCCCTGTGCTCGCTGCGGCCTGTGAGGATGGGAGGGAGCCTAACACAGGCCCCACTGGTGTCCCCAGCCCTGGGCTTTTCCTGCGCAGGTTCCTGACCTGGGTAAGAGTGACCGAGATGAACGCCGGCGTCTGCTCCTCATGAGGGATGGGTGGGGGCGAGGCTTCTGTGCCGAGCCTGTCACGGGCACCTCTGGGTGTTCCGGAGCAGCCCTCGTGCGTGGGAGAGTGCCTGCCTCTCATTTTCCATCTGCTCTTCTGCAGCTGCCCGGTCCCCTGGAAGGCAGTGAAGGGGACGGAGACACCGACTGAGGCGGTGGGAGCTGCCAGCCAGAGCACCTCTGAGCAGCTCACAGTCTGTGCCCAGGCGCGCCACCCCAGTGGGCAGCAAGAAGCTGGGATCGCTGCAGCCGTGTTTCCTGGCCGTGGGAGCCGAGGCGTCTCAGGCATGCCTGGCAGGTGTGGCCCGGCGTTGAAACCTCAGGACCTTTCCTTGTAGGAACAGCCTTCTCCAATCTGTTTTCAGCTCTTGCATTGCATAGATGAATTTCAGCATGTAAAGAACTATTTTTTTAAAAAAGTGATTTTCTTATTAAACAAGTGCTCATTTTGCTTAGTGAATCCTTCGTTCGCCTTTCTCTTAGTCTCTTTTTTACATTTTTCCGTCCAGAGAGATGAGCAGAGCATGTTGTCCTGTTGGGAATAGATATTGCTGAATAAGGCAGGCAGGCGCAGGAGGTGGCTCAGCCTATAAGTCCAGCACTTTTGGAGGCCGAAGGGAAGATCGCTGACTTTAGGAGTTCAAGACCAGCCTGGGTAACATCGTGAAACCCTGTCTTTTCAAAAAATGAGCCAGGCTTGGTGGTGTGCCCTGTAGTTCAGCTGCTCAAGAAGCTGAGGTGGGAGGGTCACCTGAGCCTTGGGAAGTTGAGGCTGCCCTGATCGCCACTACACTCAAAAAAAAAAACCACCTGTGGCCTGCTTTCTGCAGGGTGGGGCTGTGGAGGGGCTCTGGAGCAAAGGCCACGCCCACCCACCACACCCCTGAGGCATGGCAGCCCTGGGCTCCTCTTCCTAGATGGCTCCAAGCATGTGGCCTTTGCCCTGGTTGAGGTGGGCACATGCCTCTGCGCTGTCCAGGTGCCAGCCGGGTGGGGGCTAGGGCAGAGAGCAGAAGGAAGAGGTGCGTGTCAGAACAGGCCCCTAGTTCAGCTTTCTGGAAGACAGCACCAGCAGCTTTACGTCATTGGCCACAGGTGTGTCAGCCTCCCTTGCAGCTACCATCCCTAGCCACAGGGAGGCTGGGGGAGACTGCTTTTGAAGTGGTGCTCAGTGCAGAACAAAACACCTTGCGTTGTCCAGGAGCCGGGGATCCTTGGCAGGAAGGCTGCCAGGAGCCGGAGGGGCTGAGCGGGGGAAGTGCTGTGCACAGGTGCGGCCTCCCAGCCTGCAGCTCACGGATACCCGTGATCAGTGCGCTGGTGCCCAGTGTCCCAGTGGCGCACGTGACTAATGCGTACACGCCTGACATCCCAGCAGTGCATGTGACTGATACGCAGGTGCCTGTTGCCCCAGCAGTGCGTGAGGGCACGTGAGTGACACACGTGCTGTGCCCACGACTCGGTGGACGCCTATGGGTGGAGAGCAGTGAGGAGGACAGGTAGGCCCGGGAGACGCTTCGGACAGTGAGCTCCAAGGGTGTAGGGGCCCAGCAGAGCAGAGCTGGTTTTAGGGGTTTTGGCCAGAGGAGCAGGGGGGCTCGCTGGATTGGAAGCCAGCGAGTGCAGGTGTGAGGCCCACTGGGCTTTGGGTTTGAGGAATGGATGAACTGGGGCCGTTAACCGGAATGGGAGACAGGGAAAGGAATGGGTTTGGAGAACTAGCAGGAGCTTGATGGTAAGCGTGTTAATTTTACCTGTAATAGACAGGACTTTATTACTTTTTAATTTTTTTTTTTTTTTTTTTTTAAATAGAGAGAGGGTCTCACCCTGTTGGCCAGACTGGTCTTGAACTCCTGACTTGAGGTGATTGGCCCGCCTTGTCCTCCCAAAGTGCCGGTATTACAGGCGTGAGCCACCGCAGCCAGACGGACTTTTATTTTTTTGAGACGGTGTCTTGCTCCGTCGCCTGGGCTGGAGTGCAGTGGCGCAATCTCAGCTCACTGCAACCTCTGTCTCCCAGATTCAGGCGATTCTCCTGCCTCAGCCTCCAGAGTAGCTGGGAGTACGGGTGTGCACCACCACACCCAGCTAATTTTTGTATTTTTAGTAGAGACGGGCTTTTCCTATGTGAGCCAAGCTGGTCTGGAACTCCTGACCTCAGGTGATCCATCTGCCTTGGCCTCCCAAAGAGCTGGGATTACAGGCATAAGCCTCCGCGCCCAGCCTGGGGGACCCATTTAAATCACCTTTAATGATCCGGGGGTATGTGATGTTTTAAAATAATATGTATACATGAAAGGAAATACAAAAACATGAAAAAGGGAAGTTGCCTTTCATCCTCTAATTCCCAGTATCCTTGTCCAGAGGCCTCTGCTCTTGCCAGTGTCCTGTGGCTTCTGGAGAGTTCTGTGCATATATAAGCATGCCTGAACTTTTGCAAAGGTGGCAATGCATCTCCAAACCCGGGATAATGTTTTCACTGCTCTGTGGTCGGCAAAAGGTTTCTTTTTCTTTTTTTCTGTTTTGAGACAAGGTCTTGTTCTGTCGCTCAGGCTTGGGTTCAGTGGTTCAATCAGAGCTCAGGACGGCCTCCGCCTTCTGAGCTCAAGGGATCCTCCAGTGTCCCGGGCAGCTGGCCTACAGGCGTGCCACCCTGCCAGGCTAATTAAACAGATTTTTTTTTAGAGACAGCGTCCTGCCGTGTTGCTCAGGTGGTCTCAAACTCCTGGCGTCTAGCGATCTTCCTGCCTCAGCATCCCGATGCGCTGGGATTGTGAGCTACTGTACCGGGCCCAAAGATTTCTTAAGATGCAAAATGAAAGAACAAAAGGATACATCGATTTTCGCCAAAATTAATAGCTTCTCATTGAAACAGCCACTCTGAAAAATGTGCCGAGCGCGTCATTTCACTCAGTGTTTCAGGCCTGGGAATGAAGCTGGAAGTCAGGTGGGGACGGGCGTTTCTCAGCGTAGATGAGCTAGGATGGACACGTCCACCGTGCGGCGGTGCTCCGTGTCCCCGTGGGCAGCACCCCCTGTAACGTGGTCCCGAGTCCTGCACTCATGGCTGAGTTAGCACTTCACATCACTGACTCCTCTCTCCTTCAGCCACTTCATCCTGGCTGCCCCCGCCTAGATTCCACAGTCCACCTCTTCCAGGACTCTGTGCCTCCTTGAGACGGGGCCATCGCATGAACGGCCCTAGCTGTGGTTTTACCCAATGGCTGGCCTTTTTTTTTTTTGTAATGGTGTCTCGCTCTGTCACCCAGGCTGGAGTGCAGCGATGCGATCTCAGCTCACTGCAACCTCCAGCCCCTGGGCTCAAGAGATTCTCCTGCCTCAGCCTCCCGTGTACGGTTCAACAGTCACCGGAAGTTTCCTGACAGACAGTCCCATGGCACTTCCCTAAGTCGGTGCCTTTTCACCAACATACCCCATTGCCTCCATGCTCCTCACACCAGTGACCGCTGTCCCACGCTCTCGGCAGGTGGGTCACGCCCACTCCAGGAGAGAATGGACGTCAGGAAACGCAGCTTCCATCTCCTGTGTCCCCACCCAGGCTTGCGCTGCCTGCTTTGCAGTGGAAGAGGCTCCCTCTCTAGTGCCAGTGCCCTGGATCCGTCCTCCGTCGCCATTGTCCTGCCTGCTCAGGGCTTGACCTGGGAATCTCTCCTGTACCCTCAGCATGTCTGCTGCCTCACAGCACTTGAACATGCAGAATCAGTCCTCTGTTACCCAACTCATTTTATCCCCTTCCACCTTCCCTCTGCCTCTTCCCTTTTACAGCCAATTTTTTTTCTCTTTAAAATTTTCAGTTTATTTTATTTGCATTTTGTGGAGGTGAGGTCTTACTATGTTGTCCAGGCTGGCCTTGAACTCCCCGGTTCAAGTGATCCTCTCATCTCAGCCTCTCAAAGTGCTGGGCTTACAGGTATGAGACACTGTGCCCAGCCAAAACTTCCCAGTGTGCTGAAAGTTAAGCATTCATCACTTCACCTCACAGCCCATATTTCTTCTTTAAAAAATAAATTCAGACATAATTCACATGCATACCATAACATTCACCCTTTTAAAGTATACAATTCAGTAACTCTCTTTTCTTTGAGTTGCAGGCTTGTTCTTGTCACCCAGGCTGGAGTGCAACCTCCGCCTCCTGGGCTCAAGTGATTCTTCTGCCTCTGCCTCCCCAGTAGCTGGGATTACAAGTGTCTGCCACCACACCCAGCGATTTTTTGTATTTTTATCTCTTTTTTTTTTTTTTTTTTTTTTGAGACAGAGTTTCGCTCT